AGTGGTTTTTCTTCTTGGCAGGAATATAAGACCTGCAACCCAGAGAGCTGCCCGGAGGTGCGCAGGAACACACCCTGGACCCCTTGGATGCCTGTCAACATCACCCAGAATGGTGCCCGCCAGGAGCAGCGCTTCCGCTACACGTGTCGTGCCCAGCTGTCTGATCCCCACGAACTGCAGTTTGGGAGGAAGAAAACCGAGAATCGATTCTGCCCCAATGATGGCTCAGCAGTGTGTGATACTGACTGTACGTCTTGCCAGCTCTGGGGGACCATAGGGCAAGCCTACATTTGGTGGTGGAAGAGGGATCCTCTCAGAACAACAAGAACCTGATTGTGTCTGCATAAGTCTTGACATGTACAACTAGTGTCACTGCAGAATGGCGGGGATGGAGAGAGCCCTGTGACTTAGAGATCAATACAGTTGTCAGCTCTGTGCTAATGACAGTATATAGATTTGTTCTTGCTACTGCCAGGCTGCCCCAAAGAGAACAAGCAAGTAATGAGGGTGTAGAGAAGAGAAGAGCCATTCTACAGGACAGTGTGTCTTTACTCTTCTTTCTCTCTGGAGGTCCCCTTGTGCGCTGCCTCTGGGGTTATTCCCTTCAGTACTGCTGTGATGCAAGGCAGTGTCCTCAGGGCACAGCCTTGACTGCCACAATTTGCTGCCCAGAAAGGTCATTTATCAAGGCTATTAGTAGGCTCGGTTTATGTGTGTACAGAGTTCTTTTTGTATCTAGCTTAACTGTACCCTTGTGGAACAAAACTCTTGCTCAGGGCTTTCAACAAAAGCTCTTCCCCAGGACACATAAATACTGATTTTATTCATGAGCTGAAGCCCTTTTTAAAAGCCCAATAACTGATTAATTTGTGATCCTGTGGTGTCTTGTTTGTTTTTCTTGAAGCTCTTGTTGATGATCTCCTCAAGACTGGTAAGACCTCAGCACGGATTATCAATGGCGGCTGGTCCTTTTGGGGGGCCTGGTCTTCCTGTTCCAGGGACTGTGAGTTGGGCTTTAGGATCAGGAAGAGAACATGCACAAACCCTGAACCTAAAAATGGTGGCTTACCCTGCGTGGGGTCAGCGATGGAGTACCAAGACTGCAATCCGCATCCCTGCCCAGGTAACCATGATCATCTTCCTGCATGAAATTCAGAGGTCTTCTTTCCCATCTTAATGGCAGAACCACAAAAAAAAATAATCAGTATTTCCAAGCTGCTTTTTTGTTTGTTTGGTTGTTTTTTTTCAATTTGGGGGCTTTTTCCTTAATTTTTTTTAAAACTATGGTAGCAACCCATGTATGTGATCTTTAGTGCTATGACTTATGTTTCACCTCAGCTCAGAGGGTAACACAGCCACATCCTCTAGAGGAAGTAGTATCATGGCTTGTCTAGCAATTTTTTGCTTCAGGAAGGTTTGGTGCTCCATCCAGTGGAGGGCATCACGGTGCACCTGCACCTTGATGCGGAGACAGGCTTAATAAATGTGGCTTAATACTGTGTAGAGATGCTTGATGTGGCAGTTCTTCTTGTGAACACTTGTTTCTTCCCCCTCTCCTGCTTACGTATTGTTCTTGCGATGGGCATCTACTCTTGACATCAGTTACCATTTCCTGCACAGCCAGCAGGGAGTATTCTTGCCTGGTTTCCTGGTTTTCGAGTTTGTCCTCATGTTTATGTTGCACTCCTGATCCAGAATAGTAATAATAGACCATTGACTACTGTATTTTCTCTCATTTATCCTTCTCCTTGCTCTATAATAACTATCTAAACTAAATTTAAGTGATCTTGCACAAATTACCTTGCCTCTTTGCAGTTCTGGCAATTATCTACCTCTGGCAATATAGTTTGTGGCCTACACTTGAAAATGCTATATTATAATAGTAGTAGTATGATTCTAAAATTCAATACAAAGATAAAATTCCAATGCAGATATGATCATAATGTTCAGGAAAAGCATAGCAAGAGTGTCAAATACTGCACTCTGTGGCCTATAAAAAGAAAATAACTCTAGTGCTATAAAGGTAGCTATTAGTACTATTTTGGAAGCTCTCAGTGGCTTTTCACTAATGTCTGTGCCCTTCTTCTGTGCTGTTTTCTCCCCTTGGACACTATGATGTTTTACAATCTGTTCTGAGTGCATGATTGCTATTTCTCTGTGTCTCCCTCCTTCCCTGCCTCACTCAATGTGTATACACAAATCCTGGGTTTATCTTGCACTGTCATCAGGTTATTACCTTCTGAATTAATGGCATGTGGACCTGCAAATCAGGCAGTCTAGCAGCCTGAAAAGGAGCGGGTGGGAATCAGGGATCTTAAGTCCCTCCCTAGTTTTATTATTAACCTGTTATGGGACTGTGCTCAGATCATAGAATCGTAGAATGGTTTGGGTTGGAAGGGACCTTTAAACATCATCTAGTCCAACCCCCCCTGCAATGAGCCAGGACAATAAATAAAGCCTCTGAGTTTCTGTTTCCTGAAGGTTGGAACTAGAGGACTTGGGGCCCCCACAGAAAGGTGCCATATAAGCTCCACTTAGGTTGTACAGGACTTTTTTCCCAAGCAAATCTACTGTTCCTGTAGGTGAAGTGTCAGGAGACAATATAATAACAATAACAACGCTGTTTTATAAAAAGATGTAGAATAGAATAGAATAGAATAGAATAGAATTTTTCAGTGAATACCCTGAAGAATAGTTTCTATTTTGGCACTTCATGATGCAGGGTGGTTTTGTGCTTAGACTTCATTCTGCATCTGCAGAGTGCAGCACATTCATACCCTCCCTCTCTTGATCTGAAGTTCTTGTCAGGCCCAAATGTCCTGGGGTGCAAGAAACTGCTAGATAGTCTGGGCAGGGTGGATCTGGAAGGGGGAATACTGGGGCTCTCCAGCTTTGTCACAGTGAAAGGAGTAACCAATGGCATCTACCTCTCTCTCCTTGCTTTTCAATGTCCTTCAGTGAAAGGCTCATGGTCTTGCTGGACTCCTTGGTCTCACTGCTCAGCAACTTGTGGAGGAGGACACTACCAGCGCACACGGACTTGCACCAATCCAGTTCCGTCTAGCGGAGAGGATATCTGCATTGGTCTGCACACTGAGGAGGCCCTTTGCAACACGCACCCATGTGAAGGTAACCAGTTCTCGTCCCTGCTCCAGTTCGCTAGGGTGGTAGTGGGAGCAAGAGATATCTGCAAAATGTTTAAAAAAGAAGTCAGAGACACCACTAGTTAGAAGCTTTTCTGTCCATTCAGTAAATGTCTATTGAGCTAGGGAAAAAGGAGACATCCCTGTGTTTCGCTGTGATGCATCATCATTCTCTTTACCTGTTCACTAGCCCACGCTCTGGCTTTCTGGTGCTGAACAGCAAAATCTTGTTAATGGCTGATCCATTTAAAGTAATTGAAAAAGCAGGAACTGGGTTCTTCAATGTGGAAGCTTACAGATTGAATAAAAGCAGTCATGAAGCATCAATCTGTACAGTTGCTGAAGGGACAATCCTTCCTTTTTCTTACACAGACAGGCAGATGAGCACATGCTACAACTCGCAGGACAGGGTTTAGATCTGTGCTGGTTTTGAGCGAGCTGTGTGTATTTCTGATCCAGTGCAGGCTGACTCCTGCCCTTAGGAACCTCATCAAAACTCTCTAACTGCGGTAACTTGTGCTGGCTGCTTGAGGTATCCCTGGGAGGCCACCTCGAAACTTGGAGGTCCTGGTGCAACATTGCCTCATCCAGTTCCTTGTATGTCTTTAACCAGAGATCTGATACAGGAGCTTTTAAGACAACTCTGTCCTGTGCAGTGCTCCACCAAGGGCTGGTTCAGTCTGTGTTAAGAAAACTACAACATGACAAGTAGAGTATGATGCTTGCACTGTTATTTGTATTGAGGAAATTAAATCCACTAAAGGCCCCTGGATTAGATGTGTATGAGAGGCCCAGACTGGGATCTAGACATCCTTCAGCATGGAAGAAGTTTGGTATCTGTATCTACAAGGGATCCTTTTCCTTCTTGGTGACATTGTCTGTGTGTTTTCCTGATCTTGGATTTCAGGTGGCTGGTCAGAGTGGTCAGAGTGGAGCCTGTGTAATGAAGAGGGCATCCAATACCGCAGCCGTTACTGCGAGGTACACAGCCCAGACTCTTCTCAGTGCATTGGAAACAGCACGCAGTACCAAGATTGCCTGTATAATGAAATTCCTGGTATGTACAGTGTCATTGAGGAGGGAGAGGGTGGGCCAATTCAGGAAAGCAGCTCGTGCCCAGACTGTCAAGCTAGGCTGAGATTTTCTGTACTATAAATTGAGTTTGAATGCTTCCAGAAAAACAAGCAACCAACCAAACATTTTATAAACTTTCTTGTGGCAGGCACAGGGTAACTGGCATTCCTTTAAGGCAGCTTATCATTTCTTTAAAACAGAATTAGCTAGATCTGTAATAAATAACTGGTATTGCTTCACCTGAATTGAAGCTTTTAACCTTGCATAGTTCATCTCAGGCTGGGTTATAAAAATTATCGCTGTTCTCAGTATGGATATGGGCAACAGAGGTTCCTTGAGTTCAAGTATCAAAAGAAGCATCCCAAAAGAGCAAAGAAATAAGGTGAGGCAGATGGAGAAAACTGGTGTGTGAAGTGGGGAGATTAATCAAGGGTCTGACAGAGCGATGCTGTTGATGGACAGATGGTCATCAACATCTTCCACCCTGTGTTTTGTGGAAATTGAACCTCTCAGGCAAACATTTGGTATGGGTCTAGACTGAATAACCTATTTCCACATGTTCTTTTCTGGGTTACAGTGCCCTGGCTTAAAAATCAGAGATCTTTAGGCAATAGTATTCTTATTTTTCATGGTTTTCTCATCTATGTTCTTTCCCCTAAACTGAAGAAGGTAAAGAGTGATCAGGTAACAGTATGGGAATTATCAGGTCTTTGGAGAGGTTTTGTTGCGTGTGTTTCACACTCTGACCTTGTAATTCGATTTAGAGAGACTCTCAGCTTGCTGCAGAACATGTGAGCACCTTCTCGTGTCTGGAGCACAGGGGGGTTAATTACTTGAAGAAGCAAAGTGATGGCAAAATGACAACTTTCTCCAATCTTTTCCTCTTTGTTTAGTGATCCTGCCAGCCTCCAGCATTGATGAGAGCACAAACTGTGGAGGTAGGGTACCACTAGCTATATATCTTATTTTTATCTTAACCTGGCTTCTTTTCTCCCTGTGCAGTATCAACCAAACCATTAATCTATACAGTTCATATCCCACTGATAGCCTTAATTCCACTGGAGTCTTGCTGTCTGAGTCAGACTGGAGGAATGTATCGCATGTCCACTTGTCAGTTCCAAGATTTTTATTTATTTTGGGGTTTGGTTTGGCCACTGAAGGTCATTAATTACCAGGGAGCACATTGCTTATCTCTCTCTACCCACAGGGTAAATGGCTCAGGAGAAAGGAAGGGATATTCCTCATTCCACCACTGTAAACCTCAGCTGTTTGGAGGCAGGTGTTTTTAAATAACCCACAAAGATTTCAGCGAAGAGGGTCTCTTAGACAGATCCTTTGCTGATATAGTATGAGATTAGAGTTTATACTTGTTCTCCAAGCACTTCCTTTCATTCAAGTTCTCACCTCTCACAGAAGTTATGTCTCCTTTCTGCATGTAACTTGGAAAGATCCATTCATTAGTGTCACTTTTCTACTGCCTTCAGAGCCCCTATGATAAAAATGCAGACTGAAGAAAATGGCAGGTTTCTTCAGCATTTTAAAATGGTAGTTTCACACTAATGACCATGTCAACTCCTGCTAGCGTCACATCCCTGCTTTCCTGAAATCTAGATGATCTGCAGGCTGCCAAAATCTCTTCTTCCTGTGGAGATCATGGCAAAAAAACACATGCCACCCATGGCATGGAAATTGGTCCCTCAGTTTGTGACTGTGGGGCAATCAATGGAATTAAGATTTCAGCACCTGCAATGTAACAGTAGGCTTTCTGCATCACTCCTTTTCCCTCAGAGATTGCAATGTATCTGCTTCAGTTCCAGGACTCCTTGCTACGGCTTGCAGTCTGCTGTTATGCACTATGTCCGCTATGTCCACGTTTCCTTCTTTTACCACCACCATTGTATTTACTGTTGCAATCTCCATTTTACCATGGCTAATATTATTTATTCCTTGGTGTTCTACAATATTTGGCAAAAAAGCCAATCAATAGAAATTCTGTTGATGAATCTCAGAAAATCTGTATTTTCAAAGTGACGAACCAGAAAGCTTCCCCTCTGGAGATTCACACGCTGCAAACAAAATGATTTTGTTTTTTCCCTAAGATGCAGCTAAGTCACCTGAAAAATCAGATGGATCTTTCAAAGGTGAGACTGAAATGGAAGAAAACTTTATGTTTTAGAAAGGATGTCCTACTGCAGTGACTTACAAATATAACAGTGGAATGAAAGATTCACTGCAATATGAGCAAAGCTGGGCAGGAGGAGGATGTGGGAGAGTGTCCTGTGGCTTTGCTGAGCACACTTGCATATTCAGTGCTTTAGTTCTCATGAGTGGTGTAAAGCAGGCGGAGTTTTTTAGTAAGGAAATGTCTTTTTGGAAAAGTCTTGTAACATTTAGTAGGAAATTATCATCTTTCTGCTGTTTTTTTGGACCACCATCCTAAACACAATAGAAAGGGGTAATCTTGCAATAGAATTTTATAGTGTGGTTTAAAAAATAAATGTAGCACATCAGTCTAGTAAATTCAGTATGTTCCGTACTGTAATTATGATTGAAGTGCATTACTTTGCTGTAGAACTCTCTTGGTTTTGTTCTTTTTAAACTCAGGAGGATATTTTTTAACTAAAGATTAGAGGAGAGCCATAGATTAATGGCCAGAATTCTCTATTTGAAAAGTGTATCAGTTAAAATGTAAGATGGCACCAGAAAAATGCACACCGTGATCAGACTAAGAATGAACCTCATTTAAAGCCACTCTCCAAGCAGCCCCTTCCATTTCTCTGCACACAGTCAAGTCAACACAGCAGTCCGTCCAAATGCATTGGCTTTTTAAATATTACAGGAATTTTACTGCTGCAGTCGCCACCGAGCTGACATGGCTGACCCCTGGGACAGCTGCTCTGGGGGGCCAGGAGTCAGGGGTCCCCCCCAGGCACTAGGGTCCCTGTTATTCCTTTTTGAAAGATGACAAAGCAAAGGCAAAGGAAAGGCAGTAGCATTTGGACTCATCATCATTGATTCTATTTATGTAGATTCTCCCCTGCACATAGCAAAAGACATCAGAGTCATAAAGTTTTGCCACCCAAGATTGCCTCTGGTTGCTTCATTAACTTGGTGGCTGTAAAGGTTGCTACTGTTTGTTCTGTTGTCAGCGGAGATCTGTTGGCAGTTGGTTTTACCATGGGGTTTGAGACTCTCTGAAGTGAGGGAGGAATGAGGAGTACTGTTTGAATTTGTCTTCCCCCCGCCAGCCGGAGTTGTGAGTTAGGTACCTCCCAGCGTGTGGGATGCACAACTACAGCTCCTTCCAGAAGTCAGCGCTGTGCTTGGAGGATGCTGCTGCAATCCCATGTGGAGGGATGTCTGTAGGAGGCTTTTACAGTCCAAGAACTTTTCTGTTTGAAATATTTGCACTGTAGCTACCCCGCTGGCACCTGCCTGCAACTGGCTTCCTATCTTTGCAGTTTGTGGAGAAAGCCAACAAAGAAGTGTTCTCCAAGTGTTCTTCCATTGTCCACCTTATCTATCTTTCCCATTCCCCTGAGGACCTGGTTCAAATGCACCCCAGAGGTCATGCACACATGGTCAAGGCAATGCCGCCCCGTCAGTAAGCAAGAATGCTGAGCACACTTGTGTTCCATGGGGGAGGAATGTGTATCTTCCTCGCCCCCCACACAGTCCCATAGGCATTTTGGGCAGCCGACAAAAAGGGCTTTTCCCTCCCTTCCTTCCCCTTCAGAGAAACACCAAGCATTTTTATTCCCTCATTTCCATGACACGCACATGCTTTGGAATCCATTAATGTGCATTGTTTGTACGGCTCATTTCTTTAGCTGTCAGCTTAACATAATGTTTAGTTTCAATATCAATAGAGGGGAGAGAGGAGAGACAGGGAGGGAGCTTTGAGAAAACAATACATAAACCTGTTAAACTGCACAAGGCAGAGCTGCAGTGGGGAGACAGATTTGCAGGGAGATTATGTCAGTTTATGTTAGAACGTAAGACTCTGGCTTCAACAGCTTATTAATGTTGATCCCAAGATGTCATAGCTCTGATTTGCACCTGTGGTCTTGTCAGGAGAGGCAAAAAGGCTGTTCTTTAAATACAGCATCTCTTGTCATTTCCCTTACAGGTTTTAGTCTCATCCATCTGATTGCCACTGGGGTCTCTTGTTTCTTCGGCTCTAGCCTCTTAACATTCGTGATTTACGTGTACTGCCAGCGCTGTCAGAGGCAGTCCCAGGAGTCAACCGTTATCCACCCAACCACCCCCAACCATCTCCATTACAAGGGCAACACAACCCCCAAGAACGAGAAGTACACCCCTATGGAGTTCAAGGTAGGGTACTTGATGAGAAATACCACAAGCAACTTGATACTACCTGAACAAATTCTGTGTTTATGTCATGGTTGAAATTGGGTAGGTTTGTGTTTCTGTGCCCAGCTGTTAGTATTACATGTGGGGTTGAAGGGGCATTTAGCCATACTGTCACAAACGGGTTAAAAAGTCCCATTGCTGCAATGGGATTTTGTTCTATTTCACAGTCCTGATGAATGCCACTCTGGCAAGTACATACCAAGACACTCCAGCCCATTCTGAGTATTGTGTGTATACAAATTGTCCTCTAAGAAATCAGTAAGAGCTCAGTTCAGTGCATTGTTAGTGCATGGTAAGAGGAAACGGAGGGGAGGAAGAATAAAAATGGAAACTTCATTAGACAAATAGCTGGGAAAATGCTTATTGGTAGGATGAGATTCTGGAAATGCTTGGAAAACTACCAAATTGGAGAGGATGAGAAGGCAGGGAGGGTTCTGCCCCTCTATCAGTACCAGACAGAACTTACCCAAGGCAGCCATGCAGAATTCAGTGACAGCAGCAGAATTGGGAGCTGAAGCCTTAGGAGAAGATGAGTGTTGAAGTGACCGACTCTGTTGGCATGTCTGCTTGCTGAAGAGAACACCATGCATTATCTGAGCAGGTAGAACTAAGGGTGCAGGACACAATACGCTGAGACAGTGGCACATTTTTGTATTTGAGTATCAGTCTCCAGGGGAAGTGTGGGATCAGAGAAGTGACCAGTGGGATGGATGAAGGGGCTTCATGTCACCACGGGAGGAACAGCCTGCCTCAGGTCACTTGAACAGTGTGGAGCATTATTTGAGACATGAACACAAAACAGAAAGAAACCCTGCAGCTGCTTGTTCCTTCATATAGCTATGTGCCGTTGACATTTTGAGTGTCTGTTTCTGCTGATCTGGCCTGGCTTCTGACTGAGACCCAACAATAAGATCAACAGTGGGACTGTTGCCATAGTCTGAACTCCCTGGGTATTGGGGGCTGTTTCTACGTAGGGATTTCATAACACTGGGCACAGGACGATTCCTGATACATGGCTATGATTTGCAATGTGAATATGCCTCAGAACTAAGAGCTTGCATCTAATAATTTGAAAAGAGTCAGTGTTGATTTGGTGTTTTAAAGGAAAACAGTTTGAGCTGGAAAATAACAGACTAGTTTGGCAATAAGCACGTGCTGAATTCCTTGTGTTGGGCATTGCAGCCCTTCAAAGGAACCCACTGCCTATAAATGCAGTCTCAAAAATACATTTCCTAGAAGCATAAGGCTACAGTTGCATACAGTTTAATAAGGGTGCAGCATCATAATGCGAGTCAACATGGATTTGCGGAAAGTAAATCATGTCAAGCAAATTGGATTCCTTTTTTAAATTAAATAAATATTGATCTAGATAGGAGGGAAGCAGCAGACATATTGGGATTTTCAGAGGCTCTTAACAAAGTTTCACAGGATATATTATTCTACACACTCTGCATATACAGGTTAGGTAATAAATTACTAAGACAGGTAAAGAGCTAGGACCTGATCCTGGAAGCCTCAAAGTATGAGAGTAATCCTTTCAGTTCTGTGAGTAGTTGTGGCAAAGTCAATAGGAAGACCCAGATGATAAAATCTTGCAGGATCAAAGAGATGAGCAAGAGTATCCCCTTGCTGATTACATAGCAAACAATGAAGAAAAGAGACAAATTTATTTTTGTGGCCAAAAGCAGGTAGTTACAGGGTTGCCTTTGCATTAACATTTCATGATTTATATTGTGCTATCGTATGTTATCAGCTGATGGTAAAATAGGAAGAATGGTTAAAATTTAGAAGGTTGAAGTTGTTCGCAGAACGATCTTGATCAAGTGGATAAATGGATTATGAAATGCAATATATCTGTGCCGAGTGGTGCAGTGGAGCAGAAGTAATAACAAAGCTAAGCAAAGTTTAACATAGCAGCAGATTAGTTAATGTACTATCAGGAGGGAGTTGACCTCTTTGGTAGATCCATCTCTGAATACTTGATCTAGTGTGTAGTAACAGCGAGCAGCTGTTAGAGTCTTCTTTGAAGGGACATAAAGAGCCTAGGCATTAGATCAAGTTTTGAAAAGTCTAGTTTATTTAAAGAAAGGCATTAGCTAACTGGGACTATATGAGTTAGGCTGCAGGGAGAAGGGATGTGGGGACGTGGACACAAGGAGAGGTAGACCAGATGGGGCTTATTTATAGAAAGTTAGGAAGTGAAAGAGTTCAAATGAATAAATCTGCAGTCATTGGGCAGACCAAAATGAAATGTTTAGGACCAAGGTGCTAGTTGCTAAGAAGAACTCGAAGTCATACTCTTTTAGCATGGTAATTGAGGCAAAGAGATTTACAGAAAGGGTAAAGTCTGTTTGTCAAGTGAAGCCCCTTTTCTCTATTCCTGTTAAATATTTCCTTATGTTCATCTTCTCTGTTGTCCCTCCTTTCTTAAACTCTTGCCTGAAAATGTCTCATTTAATACTACAAATTTGCTACTCCTCTGTGTTCCCATGAAGAATATAGCGTTAGTATAGGAAGAGGAAGGCTTTGTGTGCTCTGTGCTGTGTAATTACTTACAAAACTTGTTATTAGCCAGCTTTATATTTAGGAATAACTGGCAGATTTTTCTAAGGGTCAGGAGGGAGTTTTTCGTGCCTTCAAGGAGCATGTGTGGTTTTATTGTGATGCTACGCAATTAACATTCAAATGATGGAGGAGCTAAAATTCACCTTCTGGAAAATGAGGGTTGGACTGAACTTGGATATGGGCCCATCTGAATTTAAAATGTGTATGTACGAAAGAAAGTGAAAGCACCTGAAATTCCAGATTCTATACTCAAGTAAGTTTCTATTCAACAGACACCAAGAAAATTGCCCCCAATATTTTTTAGGTAATGAAAGCAAAAGAATCAGTGTAAGTTTGTGTGTGTGTGTGTGTGTGTGTGAAACAGTTAATAAATCCACGATTAAGGAAATACATGGTGTGTAGGCTTCAGTAACAGAAAATGATAATACACAGTGACATGATGCTAGCAAGAAGGCTGAGCATATGCACAAGTCTATTATTTTCCATTCTTTGATAATAATAAGCCTTCTGCAACTGTCTTTAGTTTGTTTTCATCTTGAAATATCTCGCCTCTCCAACCAGCAGGTGAACACAGTAGAAAGTTTGGCAATGTTACATTCAAATGTACAGCACTGAATGCAAACTCATAAATCAAGGTGAATTTTATATGAAGGCAGTTTTTAATGAAGGAAGTGCTAGCTGATGTGAGCCTTGTTGGCCATTTCAGCACAGCAATGCAGTAATGCAGGTCAGATGTAAATATCATACGTAATGGTGACCTATTGATCATTTAGCTGATGCTAACTTGCCTAGGCAGTGTTTTGCAGAAGAGTGTTTTAATTTTGCTGACTTCTTTTCCCTTCTTGTTTTGTTTTCTCAAGAATGCTGTGAAGTTTATTATTAGCATATTTCATGCATATGCATTTACCAGCAGCACGTTGATTTTGATTTGTTATTCACAGATCGTAGGGGAGAGACCTTTTGGGTCACCTAATAAGCAGTTCATGTTTCATTAATCGGTTAAAGTTCATACAGCACTCTGACAATATTGAAGACTATGCAGAACAAGAGCATAATGAAACAAAAATTATCTGCTCTTCACGTTTTGGCATGATGGGTTACAGAACCACCTACAACCTTCCCAGTACTGCCATGCCGATTAGTTAGTAACTGACTATCAAAGCAGAGAGGAGATCCTCTTTTTTAACATCTTGCGTCGGCTACTCAGTGACTTACTCATGTGTGTTACTTATTAGAGTCATGCTGTTGGAAAGCCAGATGATCCTGCAGTACAAGCAGGAGGATATAGGGTCAAGGTTCAGCCCTTGTGAATTAGGAACCCTTGGAACAGCTACACATGTAGAAAGGATTTGGACTGAACTTCTTCCTATTGCTGAATCCTCTGCCAATAAAGAGAGCCAACATTTTATTCTTCACGGGATTTGGACAGATGAAGGCCTCTGCACATTGATCCAAATCCAAAATCCAATGGCTTTTGGATCAGGCCAGATGGAATTAGTAAGTTTGCATGATGATTATGATGATGATTCTGCAGATTTTCTTCTTGATTGTACTGGACAGACCTCCCTCTGTCCTTCCTTCCTTAAACACAGCTTTAGTCATGAGTCACGCAGTCACTCTCTTTCTGTACTGATCCTTCAAATAAGCTGAGGAAGCACCTGAGCATTGCATCTGCTCTGGCATCACTGCTGCTCTCGTAGAAGCTAAGGGCCAAACACAAGTTGTGCTCAAGCAAAACAGTCATTTATGTCAATGAGCAAATTTATTGCGGGGGAGGATGAGGTGAGAACTGAGTGAGATTGCAGGATTTGGCAATGAAAGAGGGAAACTAAATATTCAATGTATCACCCAATACCTGAAGTTTCTAGAAGGACATCGGAACAATACACATTAACTTCAGTAGGACTGTGAGTCCTGCACTTATACAGCAGATATAAATGCAGCTACCAGAAAATGGGGGGAATATTCAGTAGATCACTTGGGACTGTGTATAAATTAGAAGCTATAATGAGTATTTGTTTAATAAAGTGAGAACAATGCTGTAGAGAATCAAATAACAGTGCAGAGCAGACATCCCCTGCGAAGGACTCTGGACACTCTGATCCACCCTTCATTGATAATCCCGAATAATTCATGGCAATAAAATACCAGCTTGGAAGGTTATGAAACAGAAATCAATTCTGTCTTTGGAAGAAGAATCCTTCTGAATAAAACAACCAGCTGGGTGTTTGGTGTGGCTTTCAACATTGCAAAAAGAAATAAAGCTCAGGGTATAGGAAAGTGGATCCCTGTATGGATTTTAAATGTCTCTCTCGGTGATGGTCATTTTCATTGCCACTGAAAATCACACCTTTTTCATAGCGGGGAGACAGCCAGTGGTTCAAGTTTAAAGTAGC